AGAAACAATAGGATGATGTAGGCAAACAATGAAAGGATGTTCTGAGAGAAAACCTAAAAGTGTGTTGTGTGGGCAATGCTTCATGGGAGCAGGCAGCTAAGCAAGAACCTCTCTACTGAATGAGCTGCAAATAAATGCCAATATCAATATGGAGAGGTTTCAGGAACTAAACAGGAAGATAGCAGATATTATTAATTCAAATTTCATATTTAACTGGGTTTGGCATCTTTAAGCACAAAGGAAGTCACACCTTATTACAGAAATACATTGATTCTGACAATTCATTTCTGAGGCTACAGGTAGCTATAAGTGTACCACTTATAAGAAAAGTATTTGCATACAACTACAAGCTCAGTTTTGGTCAAGCTGATTTGTAGAATGGAGTTAGTTGATCTAATCATTTGGAGTGTGCTCCAGTTTCATTCATAGGCCTTCATTTTGAGTAACTATATTGTCCTTAACAAAAATAGAGTGAGGAAGTTTAGTTTTTATGAATGTGACTCTGATAACCAGTCAAATGCACATTGTTGTTATTTATAACTAGTTCTTTACTTTCAAATTCCTCATTGATATATCATTGTTGAATGAAATAGGCAACAGAATACACAAAACTGAATTTTTAAACATTCTTCTTACTAATTAATGTCATGCTAAAATCAATGGATTAGATAGATAGAACAGAAACTGGTAGCACCACTCGCATCTAAGTTTGGTTTATCTGATGCCTCTATGATACTTGAACCCAACATGGCTCAAGAGGCCAAGTCATTGATATATAAGAACACCATAAAACAGCTAAATTCATAATAGAAAGTCATTCAGTATCTAGAATTTTGATACAATATCATTTTGTAGAAAATTATTGTGATTCAGTGCTTAATATCAATCAAATTAAAAAAGAAAAAAACATTAATGACACTAACTTGTATATAAATTTGGAACAAAATGTTTAATCCAAGCTTTGGTCTTCTTGAGGTATTTGTACATGTATTAAGGTGAATGCTTTGAGGCACAATCCTTCCTGAATTTTACATGGAATTATTAAATTTCAGAGTTGAAATCATATTGATAACTTTGATGCTTATTAATAATGATACATATTTTTATTCTTTCTTAAAAGCTGGTTTGGCCATTTTTTATATACTTGCATCTTTTATTTAAAAAAAATTAATCCTGTATATATTTTTATGCCAAGATGTCATAATTTATATAAATACTGTGATAAAATTATATACTTTAGTTATAAAAATGAAGAAATTCCTGATATCATATGTAAAGATAAAATATAGGAATAAGATCAATTTCAGTCAAGTTTGTTAGCATTAAAACACATATATATTTCCTCAAAAACTATATTAAGTATTAATATCATAATTTGATAAAAGTACTCATAATATGATCTGCAGGACAATAAAGATTATAACAATACAATAAAATAGGATTTTTGTAACAAGTCAATTTGGATAGAACCTCCTTATATTTTTCTCTGAAAGTAAACAATTAATTTGTTTTTTTATATTTGAAATCTGGTTTTTAAAATAAATGAAAGCATTTTTTTCAAATGTATCTGCATAATTTTAGAAATATTTTAATTTTTTTAAAGAAAGCATTAATGTTACTAGATTGCATTTAAACAGTTTTCTTGCAAATCATGTTTTTGTTTTGGAAAAGAAATTCAAATTAAAAATGATTTTAAACTTTAAATATAAGGAATAAACTGATATTCCATTTAAGGTAGAATGTTTTACATTAGATTCCAGTAAATTGGTAACACAAATGTTTGAACTTATCTTTAACACTGTCACAAAATTAAAATTATATGAATTGGGATCAAATATAGATTGGAATTTGACAGAATAATAGGATAAGGAAACAAATAGGAAACATTTATAAATCTAACATGTTTTACTTTTATTAAAGTTTCATCAAAAATGAGATATGGAGAAAAAGTAAGAGAAAAAATTCTGGTATTTTTAATTTTTGTGTTGTTTGATTTTCATTGGTAAAGCAAACTTCCCATGCATGTCTTGTCAATCAGCTTTTGTGTGCATAATTTATGTGTATAAGTGTATCATAATTTTAGTTTGTCTATGTAAGATTTGGATGATAATGTATATTCATGTCTTTTGTTTGCTAACTATTTTTGGTTGAAATCTTAAAACAAGAAAACTGTTCTCTTTTTTAGTTTTTTTAAAAACAGGTAGCCTGATGAAAAATTACTTTATATATGTTCTAGAATATTCCAAACTATCCAAAATTGCCTAAGTTTATTCTCTGGCATCTCAGTCCTTATTCATGCTCTTGCAGTCAGTATCAAGAAAATATATCTATTAATGTCTTATATGATGTAGATTGTGTGAAGTAAAGGTATGTCCCTGAATTTTAATAACTCATTATTTACAATATAGATAATTTAACTATATAAGTATATAGTGTTTGAGAAGAAAACTTGAAAAACCCATACAAATTAAAATTTGGTGAAATGATTGAATTAGACAGGTTCAAATTATAGTGGGTACATTATTAGAACATATTCTATTAATTAATCAATTTCAGACAAAATAAAAACATGTTTTTATTGAAAATTATTAGTAAGATTCATTATTCCAAGGGAATACAAACTTAAAATAAATTTAATAGAATTATAATTCATAGAGAAATAAAAAAATTACTCAGCATTTAAAATATATATGAAATTATTAATCTGCAATGTTTCAGCTTTTAAAATGTAATTTATTGAGCTATTAGAATTATTATACTCTTCAAGTAACAGGTTTTCAAATAGAGCCAAGCATTTTTCTGTTAAATATTTGTTCACACTTTGTGTCTACTATTATAGCCTTGCATAAGGTATAAATAAAAGAACAATATCTCAAGTAGTCAGTCGGATTCCAAGCTGTCCACATGATAATGTGAGTAGCAATCAGGGTAAAAGTCTGAGTTGAAGTTATTAAGAAATCTTTGTATCTGGTTTATTCACTGTTGTATGAAAACTGTCTTTATAAGAAGAAACTCACCTAAAAAAAAAAAAAAAAAAAAAAAGGGAAAGCCATTTTTGTAAATCACCAAAATTATCTCTGGAATATAAAAATTTTGGATTTATACTTTATCTGTGTTTTTTTCCTTTCCTTTTTCATTGAAAGAGTTGAATATTTTACAAGTTAATCCTGTGGATTAAAAGTATTCAGTTTAAGATTCTGATGATGTTACGGTGTAGACAGGTACCTGATAAAGGCTGGAAGGTACAACAGTCAAAACCTGAGTATAATGACAAAAAAAAAAAAAAAAGGATTAGAATATTTCTGAATAGAAATGTAGAATGATAATGCTACGTTTAAAAAATGCCTACATAAGACTATTTTGGTGAAAAATATTGTAACTAGATAACTATAGTGTGCAAATATTTAAATAATTCAAAATACAATTATGGTTAAAAAATTAAATTAATGAATGTGATCAGTAGTTTTATTTGACACATATGTCCAATAAAAGTGCTGATGTCATTGAAAATTGTTTTCAATGAATTACTGAATACAATTATGTCACAAAACGTTTTTTTTATTTGACCCATCTCAAACTGTTTTTAAACAATGGTCAGCGCTAACTGAAATTAATTTCTCTCTAGGGAATCACTGCAATCAAAGGTGTAAAAAAAGAAATCTGTATCATTGTTTGTGCCATATAAAATTTAAAGAAATGAAAAAAAAACAAAACAAAAAAAAAAAAAAACAATTAAAAATAAAACTAATACAGTCAGTACACCATAAAAAAACCCAATCTCATGACAATGACATCTTGTCAGACTAAAAACTGATCATGAAGAATGAAGAATGAAGATTGTCTGCAATTTTGTACCTGACCTTGAAAATGAATTACACGATTCTAGCAACGTGATTTAGAAAGTACTCGTAGCTAGGGAAAATAACGAATATAAATTATGATTACCATCATTTTGTTTTATTTAATTACTTAAGGTTTCTTCAAATTAAAGGTAATTAATGTGACATAACAATAAATTATAATTCAGATTTTTTATGAGGATACTTGTTTTTAATTTTTTTGTATCTTATTTTTTTTCATTATCAATGTCAGTGAGTGAAATCATCATTTGTTGTGTATGCCAAGAGAGCTAAAAAAATCAGTGAAAAATAACTAAATTATTCAATAAAAAAAAGGAGCGAATAATGTGGTAGGGTTGAATTATTTTATGAGTAACTGTAGTTGTAGTATCTACCTTCACACTCCTACTTCCATTAAAGAAAAAAAAATAACACGGAGAAAGATTGACTTAAGCGAGTGGAAGGCAAAGTTGATTTGCTGGCAAACAGAACACGTTTTTAGCAATAATTCCAGCCACAAAAACACGATCATTGCAACGTGACTGCCAGTGAACACGTGATTACGATGGACCAATGGTTGACGTCAACAGTGCTTCGTCAAAGTGGGGGTGGGTCATAGATATGTAATTTGTATATTCCGTATAGGTTGTGATGCGCACAGAGAAATGCAGTCTAAGAAAACACTTCTGAGAAAGAACCGAATTATAGCAAGGTAGATTTTATAGACTCAGAGAGTCCCCAAAATGTGTGAGGAAATCATTTAGCAACGTTCTTGGAGTGATACTCACCAAGGATACATACAAACTTTTAGAGTGTTTTACTTTTATTCAGGCCTCTCATGGTCGCTGTCGTCAAAATAAGTAAAAAGTTAAGAAAGAGAAATTAGTAGAGAAAAACAAATAAATCGCGCAGTTAATAATCAACTTGAACTGAAGAATTAGCAAAAATCAAAGAACATCGCCTCGATTATCCCTTCGGATTTAAGGTGATCGTCGTATTATTTTAATTTTGTAAGTGTGTCCATATTTCTTTATAGTCGCGTTAATTGGGCACACCTCATTGACAGAAAAGAAAGAAAGAAAGAGAGAGAGAGGGGGACGGAGCTGTTTAAAAATTGGGTCACACTTATCAAGCAGAAAAGACAAGGAATTATATTTGAACATGTCTGGAGAGCGAGAAAAAAATGTGATTCACTGGTTTCGCAAAGGGCTACGTCTTCACGACAATCCAGCCCTCAAAGAAGCACTTAAAGGAGCCAATACCATTAGGTGTGTCTATACACTAGATCCGTGGTTTGCAGGATCTTCTCAAGTCGGCATCAACAAATGGAGGTAAGCCGAACACGAATAGTTTCTAAATTGTAATTGTTTGTTTCTCTCTTACATCAAGCAGTGATCAACACCCAGACATTTTATTCTTTCTATTTTATTTAATTACCTATCTTCTGTTTGGTTTCTCCTTGTATACTTGATTAGTTCAAGTTGTGTGAATGGAGAACAAGGAAGGATATACAAGAGACGACGATGTGGAAATGTTTTGTTTTGATCAGTTGTTGAGTAAACTTTTTTTTTAGTCAGTTTTTCATCTTAGGGAATTTGTTAATCTTTTTAAAAGATTCTTTTAGGTTTAATTTTGTGTCCTGCTCTTGTGAGTTTCCTTTTTAATTTTTAGAGTAATTAAATTTTCCTAATTTCTAATATTTGAATTTATTTTAAAAATACGAATAATTATAAAATATAAATTTTATTATTAAATATTTTATTTTTACAGTTTTAAAATGTCCTCATCACTAAGAAATTCTAAAAATTATGACATCATAATTAAAAACAATATTTTTAATTTTTATAATGTCACAATTTTTTAAAAATAATGACGTGAAAAAATAATTAAGTTAAAAATTAAATTTGAATTCTGAAATTACTGATTTTTTTTATGTATTAAAATTTTAAAAATCAGAAAGTCAACTCGGTGCTTAAATGAATTTTTCATTTTCTTGGCTCATAAAAATTTTATAAAAAATATTGGCCAATTTTTTTTTTTTTTTTTTTACAAAATGTTTTGATTCATGTTTGTTTATCACTTTTTTTTCTTAACTTTATTAATTTTCATTGAGTGCACGACGACATTAAAAACAACAAACACAATATTGTTAATTAGTTAATTAAAGAAAAAAATGCAATTTTCGGTTAAAAACTGGTAAGCGAGCTGATATTTGAAAGACTTTATTTTTAGTAAATTTGCTCAAGTCTTAAGAAGACCTAAGAAGAACCTGCCTCCCACCAATAGTAGGGCAGATTGGGTTTTATAACCTTCGTTGGCAAACAGTCTAAGAAAAGGACAACAATTAAAAAAAAAAAAAATGACCGTGGAGAAGGCACCGATAAGCCAAAAACCACTTTTCAGTGATTTTTTTTCCAAGAACAATCATGACAACGCAATTTTTTTAATGTTGAACATAAACAAGCACTCTTTTTTTTTTTTTTCCCTATAGCTGAAAATATGAAGTACATTGTTGTGAAATATTTCCTAATTGACGTGAATACTTTTACGACCGGTGGTTCAAGACTAGCACATGCCTTCCTTCGTCAGTATTAAGATCAGTTACACCAAGTGAATATTTTCATCTTAATAGCAGGCGTGTATAAAAAGCTAGACCAATGTAAGTGTTGTGGTTGGTTCCATCTTTTCTACAAGGTCAACTGACATTACGTCATTTGATCCGCTTTTTAAAAGGCTCAATAAAACCTGTTGACGAAACTAACTACTGGAGGTAAAGGAAATTTATTTTTCTTTGTCTTTTTATTTATTACTTTTTTAGTGGCATTCTCTTCAAACACATGACCCAACACATGCGCCAATCAAGAGAATAAGAAATATCAATTAGTGAATTAAAATACGGGAAAATTTACCAAAACTATTTAGAAATCAATTTGTGTTTAGTTTATTGGGTGTTAAAAATGTTTCGCACATTTTGATTCTCAATAATTTTAGTAGTTTCGTATTTGGAAGTTTTAAGATAAAACTAGTTATATTTTAGAAAGAAAATATAATTGAATGTTCCCAGAATATAGACCCCCCCAAAAAAAACCTTAAAATATTAAATAAGTCCCCCCCATGATATTCAGCTGCCCTATCCAAGGCACGTCTTCATTAGGAAACAATTCAATTTTATCTCCAAACAGGAAAGAGCTCACCTGTACAGGTGCATACCTTAACTTTTTTTTTTATCCGACGTGTGGACACTACTTTCGTTTTATTTATTTGTCAATATTATCAAAACGCGGTTTCCTTTGAATTTTATTTTTCTAAGATACAAGTATTCTGGTATAAGCTGTACTGTAAAAAAGATCTTTTTTTAACCATATTTTTGCTTTTAAAAAATGTACAAATTATCGTCATTTAGTCAAAGTGTGTTGATACCACAACTCATAATTATAATACCACTTTTATAATATAGTGGTTTACTAAAAATTTAAACAGTTTAAGCAAATAATCAGAAAATTCATGCGTATATTTTTCCTAAGCAGTTGAAAAGTAAAAATGAAGTTGAAGTATATTGTTCGATAATAAGTTTTTTTTAATCATTTATCAACTTTCATTTGTTTATTGTGACATAATTTCAGAATCACAAAAAAAAAAAAAAAAAATAATCACAATCTTACGAAAATTTGAATCTTCATTTCGCAATGAACAGATTTTGATAGACTGAGTTAAAAAGCAACATGACACGTGCGCAGTATACGCATGGTTAAATAAACAAAGGAAAAAAAACATTTTGTTTCATTTGTTGCTTTATCCATTTCACTCAGCTCCTTCATTTTATGTCTGGGACTTTTTTGTCTTGTAATAAAGGACCGCTTATTTTCTTGCTCAAGTTAGCTATTTTGATTTGTTGATGGAGAATAATAGACGCCATTTTTCTTTTGTTCACAAACAGAAATGACGATTATATTTTTTTCCCAAAAACTTCGTAATCGTTAAAAAATCTTTATTAGTCATTAAAATATAGTTGAAAATAGTTATTGTATCTCGAATGCTATTTTTGTCATTTCTGAAAAAAAAAATTCAATTTAAAAGTAGGTATATCCGGCCTTTCATTTTATAATGATTTATTTTGTTTTGCAAAAATAAAATATAGCGCACGAGGAACAACTGTTTCATCAAAAGATTGTTGTTGAAATTTGTATGATTATTGGCCACAAGTGTGGGTCCAGAGTATGAGGTGAGGAAATATGGGAGGTAATTCAATATCTGGTATAAGGAATTTATTCTGGACGTTAAAATAAAATCGATAATATTCGAGAACTTTGTCTTGTGTAATTTAAAAAAACTGCTAATGAAGTTAGGTTTATTCAATTACTGCTTCATTTTCCTATAACTTCATCATCACTTGATTGTTTTAGAAAATTCAGTTGAAAGTTATTTAAGGCTACCGTTTTTAAACAAGCATTCACTACAAACAAAAGAAAAGTAAAACTAAGTGAGTTTTTTTTTTTTTTTAAAAAAAGGATAATTTTATTTACTAACTATAATGAGGAACATAAAAAACTAAATGTTCATAAAATGGCTCTCCCAAAAAAAGTTTTAACGAAGAGTGTGGGTATTTCCAACTTCTTTTTTTAAAAAAGAAAGAAAAAGAGTGGTCCATGTGGGATGTTATGACGTCATCATAATGGTGCTTTGTCTGTTTTTCCTTTTAAGATAAACCATAACAAGAAGTATCCAAGTAAAACTTTAAGTATTAATTAATATTTTTTTCTTAATTTTTAAAGCTGTTTTTTTTTTTTTTTTTTTTTTTTTTTTTTTTTAAAGGCTCAAGAGAATTTTTAGTAGATTTTCTTAATTTTTCATAAATTATTACAATATTGTAAAAAAAAAAAAAAAATCCCTCTTGAAAGTTACTGGATTTTCTAAGTATGGTGACTTTTTTGTGGTTAAAGGTTTTTATCTAAGTGGGACTAGTGGGTAACATGCAAAATCTTTCAACAGCCATTATAACACCATGCATCTATCATGCATTAAATTTTCGTTACGTTCTAAGAGATTTATTATTGGTTGACATTATCTTAACATAAAATAAACAGAACATACATTATTAATGGTAGACTGAGGAGGGAAAATAAAAGAATTCTTAGATAAAATAGTGAAGGAAAGACTAATCATTATGTTGTTAGTTAGCAAAAGAGACAATCCAAAATATGAATTAGGTATTGAGGATACCAAAATTAACTCGGCAAAGAAATTGAACTTTGTGGATAAAAGATATTGATTCATATCAAGGGTATTAATTTGAAAGTGAATATAAAATATTATGCTGAAATTTGAACTTGGCTTGCCAATTCCATTTTTTTTGCTGATAACTGTTTTACTACCCATGCATCCTTATTGAGAATTAAAGATGTACAAAAGTCGATATGCATTCAGATCAGGTACAAAAATCATTAGTGTAAATTTGATCTTAGAAATTCCTGATAACTATAATTGCTATTTGCATTTTAAAAAATGCAACTATAAAATATAACTCATACATTTTAATTTAGACTAGTTATTTGTAAGGATAATTTCTTAGATGATACCAGCTAAATGCATTACAATAAGCTTAAGCTTATTTTAATGTATTTATTATGTAATATTATTATGTAATTAAATGTAATGTTATTATATAATTAAATGCTTTTTTAATACATCAGATTTTCAGAATAAGAATTTTAACTGTTCTTATTTAAACATTTTGAAACAAAAAGTATAAATATTCTACTTTTAATTTGATATTAAATCTATAAAAATTGATAAAAAAAATGGTTTATATTTTGTATGTAACTGTTATTGAATTTAACTTTTTACAAACTGATCAACTTAGCTATATTTTCTTTAAAGACACACAGTCACTTATAATTTGAGAAGGAATATTTATGAAAGAACTAATAATATTTAACTGATAATTCTCCTATATTTCTGTCTAAAGCCTATAAGCTCACTATAAAGAATGGAACCACGATAACACTATGGAAGGTAATGTTATTGCAGTTTTAGTCACAAGTAAGTTTTATGGGGTAGAGTTGTTAGCCATAAGCATAACTGTTTCAAATTCAGAATTGTCCTTCATTTAGACTGGATGCTGACCAAAGCTAGAAAACCTTTGATCTGCTATTCTCCCTGTATATGGTGGAAAAGAGATTGAGTTGTACCATTACTAAAACATTGAATACAAACAACTCTGCTGGAATTTGAATTTGGTAGATTGATAACTATTCCTGGCACCTTGATTCATTCATGCTTCTATATTGTTTCTTTTAGGTTAAGTTGTAACCATAATTTAATCCTTATATATATATATATATATATATATAGCATTCTCTGGTCATCAATGAACTAATTTGTTAAATTGGTGTTGAAGAGTTTAGTATTGGTAACCCAACCTTTAAGAATCAGGACGACTTTTGAGGCACTTTTAAAAAAAGTGCACTATATATATATATATATAGCAGGATATATAAGAATTTAAAAATTTCCTATATATTTCTACTAGATCTTATTGCCAATTAGCTGATTTAATTATTCCAAGTTGAAACAAATATTACTTTTAGTTTAGAATATTGATGAAAAGCATTTAACATGGCGGTTAGTGTTTTTTGAGGTATTGACATATTAACAGCCTGATGGTTGTCATTGCATTTATGCATAATGAGTTCATTTTAAATCGACTAAAGTTTGAAATACAATCTACTACAACTTTAATTTTTAAATGAGTTAAACTTCATTATTAAGAGTTAATTTCAGATTTTAAAGAGTGTCATGTTAAAAAATAAAATAGTAGTGAATCTTAAATTAAAAAAGAATATTCATTTAATATAATTCCTGAGCTGTAATTTTGTTGAGTTGTCTTTTATGGTTGTAATAAAGATTTAATCATTCAGAAATTGGTATCATAGCTTCACTGTTGTTTACATAACTATTCCATAAAAATAAAATTTATGTCTAGTTTAATATATTTTTAGTATATTTAATGTATAGAAAAGTCAAACCATTTCTGAAATAATTGTTCCTTATAATCTGTATACTTGTTTCTGTTAATGAATATATATTTACTTTTTAAAATTTTTTATTTATTTTTCTATTTTCTTCATAAATCATGCATTACAAGAACAAATTCTAAAGAATTATGAAGAAAAGTATTTAGTTTTTGGTAACAATTTATTATCAGTTACTTAATTGATCATATTTGAAATTAAACTTAAAGGCTATTAAGTAAAAAGGTTTTAATATTTTGGTTAAAATTTTATTTGAACAATATTTTTTTTTCTCTAGATTTCTCCTAAATTGTCTCGAAGATTTGGATGCAAGTTTACGTAAATTAAACTCAAGACTTTTTGTTGTGCGTGGTCAACCAGCTGATGTATTTCCACAGTTATTCAAGGTCAGTAGCTAATATTTTCTGAATATTTTAAAAAAATATTATTCCATTCATCTTCATTATAATAATTGTTCTCTATGGTCTGCTTTTCAACTTTTTAATTTTCTTATTTAATTGTGAATGTTTTGTGGCTAAAAATGGATTCATCACTTGTTGATCAGTTTAATTTGTTTACATTACTGTGTTTCTTTGCTTTTGGTAATTTATTTATTTTTTTAACTGCAGGTAAAGGTCATCTCTTCAGTATATTTACTTTGTGTTTGTACAATTTCTCAAACTTTAGATAAGAGTAATTACTATACATGAAAAATATACTTTTCTGAAATGTTGTTATTTAAGAAAAATTAGCTGATTTAATTAATTCAAGTTGAAACCAATATTACTTTTAGTTTAGAATATTGCTGAAAAGCATTTTTTAACATGGAGGTTGGTGTTTTTTGAGGTGTAAGACATTGGTTGTCTAATTTATGTAAGGGGAGATAATTCTATGATGATGGATACAGTGTAAACGCATTTTTTTTTTTTTTTTTTTAAGTATTAGGTACTTTTATAGTCCTACAACACTTGTTGAGGTAATGTTAGAAAATTACCAATAGATTTAAAATTTACTATAATTACCACTCTTAATTTCTGATAATATTGTGTATGGCCGTCTGTATTTACAAAAATCAGCACATTTATGCATGCACAAATAAGAATTCTATTTTAAATACTACAGATGGCTTAATTGTAGTTTTTATTCAATAACATTATCACTTGACCATTACTAATTAATACAGACTTTTAAATGTTTTAAGTTTATAAATTATTTTAATTAAAAATTATAAAAAATGAAAATACTTGTAAAAATTCATTATTCATCACAAGAAAATGTTTTTGTAAGACAGTAGTGTCAGTAATATATTTGATTCATAAAAACAGTTAAAAGCATTTCTAATTAAATGTCTTAGTCTTATTGCATTTCTTATTTTACAATGTGGAGCAGATTTTCTATATCTGGGTGTAATGTTTGAACTCCCCACCACCCCAATTTGATTTAAATTCTCCAAGGATTTGTTATAACTAATATAAACATTTAGTGCTTGCTACAAAAAAGAATTTCTCGAAATTTCATAAAATTAGAGGGGGAAGGGTAACATAAAAAAGAATTTTAATATTTTCTAAAAAAAAAAAAAACTTTCTGAATAAGTCATAATAGTTTCATTAAAATCTGAAAATTAGCTGTTTTTCAAAGGGGTTTCCAAATGTGTTTTTCACTGCAAATACTCAAAGTTCCTGTACTAATTTATGGCCACACATTGATACAGAAAAACATGATTTTTTAACCAAAATTTCAAATGTTCTAGTAAAGATTAAAAAAAAAAAAATTTTTTTTATCTTTCCTTATATATATTTTTGCTTCCAACTTTTTTTTTTTTGTGTGGATACTCCTGTTTGAAATAGGTCAGTTTTTATTTTAACTAGTATGTAATAGGTCTGTCGGCCTGCGCGCACGAGAAAACTTAAGAAAATGACAATGTATCCATTCAAAAAGTTGAAGAAATACCTTGATTCTTGGAAGATAGTCTAAGGGAAGTAATTCTATTTTTACATATGCAACTTTAGTTTTTAATACATAGAATTTTTTTTCTTTCTTTTTTCAGTTATTAGTGCAGTAATTAGTAATTTTTATATAAAATTAATAAAATCAGTATCTTACTGCTGAATATTTTCAAGAATGTATTTATTATCTATTAAAAGTATTAAGATTTAAAACTTGATATAGTTACTTTTATAAAGCACTGGATGACATTGTTGTTCTGTTAAATTTTTAATGCAGTTAGATTTTAATGCATCTATTTTGTTTAAGACGGTGATTGCTTGCTTGCTTTTATACATCTGAAAGGTAACAATTGATTGATAAGGATAAAGCAAGCTGACTTTTGATGTCACTTGTGGTTGTCACAGGTCAGTTTAGAATTAAAATGGATATTTTCAGGCAAATTGTTAAAAGAGGCATCTTTTTCTGCAGTACTGCATAAACTTGAGTTACTCTAATTGTAGGCCTTTATGTAAGCATTTATTTCTACAAAATAGCATCAAAGGTGCTGATCAAATAGCATATAAAATGAAATTACCAAAAGCCAACTTTATACTCTGACATTCATTTTGTACTTGTATAACTGTGAAAAGTTTGAAAAGGAATAAATGATGCTTGTGACATTGACAAAAGCTCTTGATTGAAAAGAATTCACATACACTGATTTTTATGTAAATTAATACAGTATTTTTGGTGGATAAAAAGAAATATTTTCTCCACAAAAGTTAAACATTTTAAGAATAGAATTTAATTTTAGTTTTTATATTCATTTGTTTTGTTTTTACACATTTTTTCATAAAGGTAAAATTGAACTGTTAGTTGATCAGAAAAGCAATAATTGATAGAATCAGCATTTTTAGGACAATTAAGATGTATTCATCTTGTCTGGTTTTCTAAGTAAACTCTGTCACAAAACTCTGATGGTCTGCATGTTGAGAATGTTCTTCTCCAACTGAGAAAAAGCTCTTTCAGTACCAGACCTATGTTGACTATTTGCTAATGCTTGCCCAGTATTGTTTGTATACAAATTTTGTCAGTGCTACCTACTCTAAGAATGTTTTTTCTCGAGAGCCAGTTGTGGAAGAGGATGTAAATTCTGGTGCTTACTGCACCACACACAACCCACTCTGGGTCTCTTGTTGGGTTGACCTCTCTGTTAGGGAAAATTTCCAACATTTTTTTTTTTTTAAAAATAAAAATATAGTGAACCCATGAAATTGTATTAATTTTAGATATTTAGAAATCTGGGCAAGGTTTGCAACTTTTACTAGTATTCAGTAAAATATTGATAAAATATTAATAAATACAGGAGTGCTAAAAAAAGTTCTTGGCCTGACCAAGCTTTTTTTTCTTCTTCTCTGGTGCAATTTTGGCTGTTGTCCCATATAATAATGAAGTTAAACTCAACACTGAAATCTTTTTATTCCTAATTTTACTCATCAGACAGCCAATTATTATTCCAATGATAGTTTTTTTTTTTTTTTTTTTAAGCATATACAATTGATAATCATATTTTGTAGAGAAGTCACAATGAAAAATTTATGCTGCATTTATAGTAATTTCTATGGAATTAAAATTATCTTAAATTTGCAATATTTCTAAATTTGTGAAAATGTCTGTTTAAAAAAAAAGAAGAAACCTTTACTAAAACATCATAGCATTTAAAAATGCCTTATTTGAGAAAAATGAATATATTTTTAAAAGGATTGTTAAATAGAATTCTCTAGAAACAGTCCTGAACTTCTTAACTCTAAAAAAAAATTCTTATAGGTTGAAGGCAAACAATTCCAGAAACAAATAGTGGATTTTTACTGATTTTCTTCCCAGTAAATATTATCAGATATTGTAGTATTAAAATCATAGTTAATAAAATATTTGTCTATTGAATGCAATTTTAGATGTTTGTTTTTCTTAAGTAAATGTATAAATAATCATTTTAGGTAACATTTTAAATATAATTTTATAAAATTACTTTCTTAGAATATTAGTGAGTAATTTCATAAAAATGAGTATTGAAGAAAACAACCACTACATTTCATTTTCAAGTGGATGCTTTGGCTTTGGGAGTTTTGTTATTGCTTTCAAATATTATTTTTTTTTTAATATACATTATTTAATATACATTATTGGGAATTGATTAGATTTTTGTTTTATCTAAGTAATTAGTAATATAAACAACTAATACTTTTAATACTTTTTTTCTTATATGACAGAAAATAATCATTATCATAATTGTCAATTTATATAGGAATTTCATTATAGAAAACTTGTTTTAACAGTATGGATGATTTGGCAATCTGATTTTGATTGGTCTTAAATCATAATTATTTAATGTAAGTACACTTATATTGAATCTTGCATACAGCACACTTTGTCTTAACTTATATTGAATTGAATGCTTGTTCTCTGATTTTATATATAAAATTTATGGGAAATAATTGATTATATTGTAAACAAGATGGCACTTCTAACCAAAAGTTTATTAAAAAAGAACCTTTTTTTAAGTTTGGTAAAGAAACTGATAAATAGAAGATTGGAGAGACTGAAATGTCATTTTAGCCATGTGAAGTGAAGCTATTCAAAAAATAAAATTAGTTAAGTATATGTTTCTGATATTTATATAGGATTAATTGAAGTGAAAGGACCAAAAATTTGTCTATTATGAATATGATTGATCTTTTCCTTAGTGTTTGCTTTGAACATGAAAATTATATTAACAACTTTTTGTTTCTTGATTTTTTATATATATATATATATATATATATATATATATATATAGTATATGTGTGTGTATTGATCTAAAACTTATCCTTCATGATGCTTTTGAAAGCTAGTTACAAAGATTCAAAATAGTAACAAATATAATTTTGTTACTGTAGTGTTGACATTTACTGTATCTTAACTTTTCTCTATTTATTTTACATGCAGTATTATGAATTATGTTGGTATAAAACCATATTTATTAAAAACTATGGTAAAACTGAAATAACATTTTTGATTTTGTCCCATTTTACCTGCTTTGTGGTTATTTTATCAATTTTATTTGTGACCTACGATCAGTTTTGCCTTAACAATTTAGACGTCAGTTAGAATGAACTGTGAATTAAGAAAATATAAAAAAATATATATATGCATTAATAACATGATAGATTTGGTGATAGCACAACTTTATTATCTATGGACCAAAACTCAGCAATTTCTTGATCTGGACTGTTTATTAACAAGAATGAGAAAATAGATTTTTCACTGAGATTAAAATTATTATTCATAATTTTGAAAACTTGAAAGATGCAAACCTCACTCAAACCACAGTATGACCATTTCAATTATTGTATCTGTCTAATTAACATTCACAAAGCCCATCAGGTTCATCAAAGATGAATGATGTTTTCATAATAAATTATCATGTAGGTAAGCTGTAGAACTAATATTTAACCATTGGAGACCAGGGGCCATTTTTTTTTTTTTTTTTTTTTTTTTTTTGTGTCTGATAAAGAAATTTATCCTAAAATGTAAGTTCAGCTGGTTTGAAGATGAAGAAATTGTTCACTTTTTCATGACTACATATTTTCTTCCTTGAAATTCTTTTAAGGAATTCTTTAATGTTTCTACAAATTAATTTGCTCATTCCATAATCCCCACTGGGTCTTTATTGGGTGTACGTTGCCTTCATTTAATTTTTTTTCTTACAAATACCATTTTTATACAAGAAATTAAGAAAGTACCATAGAATTTTTTTGTTTTGTCTATGGTTTTGTAAGTGAAAGAATTTGTACAGTTTGTAAAACATGAACATGAATGAACACGCATAAGAAATGGAAAAATGCTGCTTGGCACTCAAATATTGGAATTTATGTCTGAGGCACCCAGGATTGATCAGATCAAAATTTGCATGTCCTACCATGTTTTATATGAAAGAGCTAAAAACATGGCTTGGTTGTCTTTATTTTTTCCTTAATTATTTTTTGGCACAGAATACATGATATGGCTGTTTCATTCAACAAGGAAAGAGATTACTTTCATTGTTGTTAGTTTTGTTAAGGAAAATTCATTTCTGGAAGCACATAATTTTATATCTTATTCATTATATATTATTTAGTAAACATGCAATTTTAAAATGCACATTTTAATTTGTAGTAAAACTTTTGCATAAGTAAAATCTACTTGATTATTTGTCTTACATAAACATTCTCATTTTTCAGTTAAATTTGTATCTTGCAATACATTTACACAATTAAATTTTTCAAATATTATTAAGATATCGTAGATTTTACATTATTCATTTTCTTTTTATCTTTTTGACATGCTAATATATTTAATTTATTACTTTGCTTTTGGTATTCATGAGCAATACAAAGAAATTAAGTATTTTTTTTTTTTTACTTATTCATACAAAATTTGATCCTTGTTTTCTTTATATTATCATTCATTTATAAAAATCCTAAATTTATTGTACACTATAGATATTATTTTTACTGATAGGGTCATTTTCAAACAGTGAAATATTTCTATTTTTTTTTATGTACTGAAGTACCATAAAAATAGTCAGCAGTAAACTAATAGTTTTGTCTTCCTCCACTTGGACACAACCAGTTGATATAATAGGTAATGAGGAGTCTAGTTGTGGCAGTTGGACATAGATTGAATTTAATAAATACTATTTGCTCATGGAATGATTGTTTGGGCTGGAAAGATGGGGGCACTCTATTTCTGAAGTGGTAACGGCTCTGTTTTTCTTGGACAACAGCAAGAAGGGCACACCAAAATGTGAATACTGGGCAAATATCGGTAGCATGTGAAAACTGCAAGTACCCACAGGAGATGCAGGAACACCTGACCCAGATGGTAATCACTCAATGAAAGGGAACATTCCAACTTGATGACACTCATTTCATCAGTCAAGGCACTATACAGCACTTAAAGTATTCTATGGGTTTCATAGTCATCCCTCCACAAGTGTATCATTATTAACACTATCATTAGTTACTGCACCTCACTTGTACCAGAGAATATCATTGGACTGTGGAAGACTGGTATCTTGTCGCCTAGTCAAATGAGTCACATTTCTAACTTTTTTGGACACTATGTAAAGAGGAAACCGTATGATGTGAATTCATCCTGTCAGCAGAGTTATGCAAACTAGTGTAGGCTTTGTTCTGTTGTCATTCACTAGAACCATTTGTGAAACTGAAGTCTATCTTGTCAAGTGTAACATACACCAATCTTGTTGCAAACCATTTGCACCCCTTTATGTTTGCTGTGGTAATGCACTCTACCATTGTATGCAGATGACATGAAACTAGTTCCAGTAACTCAATTAGTCTCCATGCTCACCAGATTTAAACCCGATTCAACATGCATATAAATCATTAAGTCATTAAATTCTCTGCAGCTGCACCTAACAAATATCACTCTGCTATGAACAGCCCTGTCAAATGCCTGAATAGTTAATCTTATACAATGATTTCAGCATCTTGTAGACTCCATGCCTTATTATATAACTGGTGTCATATAAAGCAATGGAAAAAGCTGTGTCTCATTAGGTAGTGGTCTCTTTTTTTTTTTTTTTTTTTCCATTTCAGATAATTTGTCTTGTTAAACTTATCTGAATGTTATGAAGCAGCAGTGAGTTTTAATATTTCAATGTTTATTTAAATCTTCAGAATCAAATATTGAAAAAGTATGTTTTTCATTATTACTTTCGCTCTGTTTTAAAATTTAAAGATTGAAATGTGTATCTATTTACATTGTTCAGGCTTTTCTTCTATTCCTATTTCACGACGTTTCAACCATTGTATGCTCCAGCTTTCTTCGGGTGATATATGTTGGAATTTTGAACCAAACCCTTTATTTAGTCCATGGGGGTAGATTATTTTAATTCCACACGCTGTGCCCCCCTTTAATCTTGGTTTTAGTTAATTCCCTTTAGTAACTGATCTCTCCAAGTTTTTGCTTTCTCTGCTATAGCTAAGTATTGAACTTGCAACTCTTTGGGTCAATGTATATCGCCTGAAGGAGGACAGAGCATACAACAGCCAAAATGTCATGAATATGCCAATAAAGATGATGACAACAGTCCAAACAATGTAAATAGTTTTAATACCTCATCTCAGAAATATAAAGAGATGTTGGAATATGTATATATTTCTTAATATGCTCCAATTTTCGCTTGTATAAATTTAATGTTTTACTTTCATGGATTATAGGAATGGAATATCACCACATTGTCATTTGAAGAAGATCCTGAACCTTTTGGCAAGGATAGAGATGCTGCCATTTGTACTTTGGTCAGAGATGCTGGAATTGAAGTTATCATCAAAACTTGTCACACTTTATATGATTCAAAAGCGTAAGCTGTTTTTGTTTTTGTTGTAATTGTCATTTTAATAGTAATTGTTATTTTGTATTTTGATCATTTAGCTGCCCAAATATTTAGGTATTCTTATTCTGTTAGTTTTATTATATAACAAGTTTAAAAATTAAAGCTAAAATTAACTAACATAAGTATATTCTAAAGATTATGTTCAGTTAGATTTTTAATATTTTTTTTTAGTAACTCTATAAATTACTAGGTTTGTTACTTCTATAATTTCATCATTGTATTTCAGAATTCTTGATAAAAATGGAGGAAGACCCCCCTTGACTTACAACAAATTCCAGAAAATTCTGGCAGAAATGGATTTACCTCCACGACCGCTGGAAACAGTGACTGCCAGTGATTTTGGAAACTGTAGGACCCCTTTGTCTGTTGACCATGATGAAAAATATGGAGTACCAACGCTGGAAGAACTTGGTAAATTCTTTTCACAGTCTTCTAGGGATTTTTTTAGTTTGTAATTTCTGCTTATGACAAATTTATTTATAAACAGATCTAAAGTGGTTTCCTTGAAATCAAAATCTATGATCTTTCCTTCCTAAACCTGTTCAATTATTAGAGATCTATTAAGGAATGATCAGTTTGATCAGAGTTCAGTATAACAGCTATTTTTAACCTTAGAAAGAATTTTGCTTTCTATTGTAGATATTTAATAAAAATCATGGATTATTGGGAATTGTTTAATTCTGCTTATTTACACTAGGACTGTTGTCCTCATCTTTGTTGCTATTATCACAATGTTTTTGCCATTGTGTCTTCCATCATGTACTTGTTGATCTGGATAACCTTTAGGGAATTTCAAACTGAACACTTTATTTAATCAATAGGGATAGATTATTCTCATTCAACCGTCTAAATATATCTTGTCATTGTTCTTATTTAGTACTGCTCAGTTATTGTTTACCCTGTTTTCACTATCCAGCCTAGGGATTGAACTCATAATTACTATATTACCAAATTCAGAAACAATGCTTTAATCCATGTGGTTGTTGTATTTACTTAATTTTTCTCATCAATGTGTTTTTAATGTTAAACAGTTTGATACAGATACTTTTAAACTTGATGCCTTTTTTAACTAGTTTTGAGATAGTTACGTTTTGCTAAAGATTCATATTTTTACTATTTGAGTTGTGAATGATCTTGCATTATTCTGTTTACAAAAAAATTCTCAGTGTTTAATTACAAATATTATTTTCTGTTAGTTATTTGGGAAGTGGATAGTGGCTTGGATTGAGGAATCTGAGAGTTGAGTTTGAATTCCACTTGAATTCATTACATTCATTTACATGTTAATACCCTTGGGAAAGGTATGAATCCTCTTCTTCTCCTTCCAGCTATGGGTAAATAGCAGGACAGACCGGGTTCTATAGCCTTTGATGGCAACTGGTCTACCATAGAAAGAAATGACAATGTACTGCAGTATAAAATCTGCCTCGTCAGTCATGTATCAGTGTGTATCATGCATGGCACATAACTGACTGAAAGAAGTGTGCAAATGTAATCAATCTTATGAAAGATTGATGTGTTTTTTTTCCACAGTTATGACTTTTTGCTGAACTCTTATATTTTAGATCATTAAATATATTTTATTTACTGTTTTATTACAAATATAAAAATTTGGATTTTTAAAGATTCATTATTCATATAAAAGATTGCATGTTTTATTTTATACTGTATTTGTAGTAATTATTCAATCTCATTAAATATCTTTTTCTTTCTTTTTAGGGTTTGATACTGAAGGATTAGGTCAAACTAATTTTCATGGTGGGGAAACTGAAGCATTAGCCAGGTTGGATAGACACTTGGAGAGGAAAGTAAGTATTTAGTCTCAATATAATTAAAATGCAATATCTTTAGATGGATATATGATTCTTCCTAAGTAGAATCTATATCTGATTATAAACTTTTATTGTCAGTTAAATAAAATATTAATGTTATTTAATGTCATTTGGGATTCTAGTTTTTATATTATATATAGCAGTAAACTTTTTACCAAACTTTTTTGAATCATAGCCTTTGTAAAAAGGATTTTTTTTTCACTGTGTAGGTAACTAAAATACTAAGCAATATGGTCATGTTCTTAGCTTAGGTAAGTAAAAAAAAAAAATTAATGAATCTTTAATATAATAAAAAAGCAGTTCAACACTAGATGAACAGAGTTCATGATATGAAATTAGATGTTGCTTCATATCACTGTGATCATACATCAGCTCATTGAATTATGATTGTCTGGAAGTAATATAATTTTCAGATATCATGTGAAGTCCTTGGGAGCTAACAGTAGCATACATTTTGATATACAAGTTACTTCTCTAATTCGATATTCTCTAGTCCTGTGAATCTCATGGTCAGGCATATTTTGAATCTGTCAGCATTAGTTTGTGGATTTGCCACTGTAGTTCTGCAGTTCAATTTCAAACCCAAGTTTGAACAGTAATTTTGTGATTAATGAACAAATGTGATAACCAAAGATGAACAAAATCTAACTGGGGTTTGAAACCAAGTTGAAGTAATCTAAATTCAGCATCTTCTAATGTTTATTTTAGTAGAAAATTAAACATGCACTTAATCACTGTTTGTTTCTTTGTTGTTTTTTTTATAAAATATTTTTTAATACACCTTATTAAAATACAACCTATTAAGAAGTACAAATACATCATTTTTATTTATCATAAAACAATTATATAAATTATATTAAAGCATCTCATTCTATTTTCCACATTATTAGAAAAATCATTACAAATTGATAAACTGCTAAAATATAATGCATAAAGTTATTTTGTATTTTCTATGGCCCAGCAATGACCAGGCCCTTAGGTTGTTAGATAAGAGGTACAAGTCTAACTGATTTACATGTATTAAATAGATCATATAATGTATTTTATCATATTACAATCAGATAGAGAATTCTTCCTTGCTGTTTGTACTGTTTAACCGTATACTAATGTTTCATGTGGAGATAGGTTCCATGAAGGATTTAGCATTGTACCTTTTCCAGATTATGGGACCAATCAGCCAAATATATATATATATATATTTTGTATTTTTCAGGCTTGGGTAGCCAGCTTTGAGAAACCCAAAATGACTCCCCAATCATTGTTTCCCAGTCATACAGCACTTAGCCCTTATTTGAGGTTTAGCTGTCTTTCACCACGTTTGTTCTACTGGAAATTAACAGAACTTTACACAAAGGTAAGTAGATTTGTGTTGCATTTGGATCACACTTATGATTGTTATTGCAATATTTTGTTAGTTATTGGACTCAAATATTTAATGATGCAATAGAGGAATTTTCATGAGTATTTTATAGTCCTAGAAGTCACAAGGAGCTTATTCAATCATTAACTTCAGATTCATCAGAAAATTCAAATAGGAAAACTGAAAGTTTTCAGATACTACTAGTTTACTAATTTGAACAATTCTGAAATATTTTTAAGCTTGGATCTATACATAAGCCACAAATTTGTGTAAACATTCAATAGTTGTCATATCACTAAAGTAAGTATGCAAATTTACTTTGTTTACTTAGAAAGAGGCTACCATCTTTCAAAAGAACAACACTGTCATAAGATGTTATTGCATCTGTGATACTAAAGTGGTGACTTATCTTGTGTGTGACAGTAAACCGGTTAAAATTAGTGTATTTTTCACAATAGGTTCCCCCCCCCCCACTCAAAAATCTTCAGTTATTTGAGAAGTTAGTGACTACAAAGTTTCATGTAGAATCATTATACAAATGAAGCATAATGCTCCTGGATATTCAGAAAAGAATATCCAGGAGCTCAAAATCCAGTAATTTTGTAAATATATAATCTATATTAAAAAAAAAAAAAAAAATATACATTTTTATTATTTAAAATCTAAATATTGTTTCCCTGATAAGGTGTGAATCTTGCTGTTTTCTGTCCTAACCCTTTAAGGATGGGAGTACCTAAATGTGCCCACAATTTTTACATGCTTAGAGTCCAGGAGCACTTCAATGCCCTTGTACTCAGGTAGCACTGTATTTCAATATACAGTAGCCTCTATGATATTACTGGTTATATGATATGGTTTTGGAAATGTACAATTTTGTAAAAGTTGTAGATTTCCACTATTTCTAGTTGATCATGTGATTGGTGTTAACATAGGTACCTCCATGAGATCACTAAAAAAGAGCATAGCATGACGAAAAAGACGACAAACTTGCTGAAAACAAAACTTTATCGTCTAAATGTTTACATGAGGATAATTTATTCTACAGAAGGAGAGAAGTGAAATTTAGATTTAAGTGAACAAATTATTTACCTCGTTATTTTTAAGGAAAACCTTCAGTGTTCTATTTTTTTTTTTTTTTTTTTTTTTTTTTTTTTTTTAGCTTTTAAGCCTTACGTTTGATGCTTTATGGAAAATATATTATAAAGAAATTAAAATAAGACTGTTGAGAGTGAAATTAAATTTCATAAAAATGAAATAAGATGACTCACTGAAAACAACTTCACAAAATTGAAATTGCAATGAAATATGTAAATGAAATAAATGGTACTTCTAAAAATGTAGTAATGTTGCTGCAGAAAATGGCTTAGGATGGTGTTCAAATCTTTTTAATTAGTAAAAATGCTAATTCAAAATGCTCAACGTTTCGCACGAAGAATTTGCAATAATGAGATGAACGGTCAGTGGAGAACGCTTACATTCAAGCCACATGACGTTTTATTGCTTGTGACCTTCCGTATTTTTTAATTACAGCTATTTTAACAATTTTTTATGAACACGAAATTACATTTCTTAATTACTGCGGGTCTTCTGATTGGACGAAGTGATACAATTTACAAACACTAAAAAATGATCTATCTCATAAGGACATTAACGAAAGTGAATGCAGCTTTCAACTAATTTTATATTTTAACAGCTTAAATGTAAAAATCTAAAATAATTAATTGCTTTCAGAAAATATTGTCCATGTTCGTAAAAACAACTAAAAGCAAATAAAAGCATTTGAAATTAAATAATATTTTTGTTTTATTGAGTTTTGTATGTTTCAATTCAGGGCTGGTTTTCAGGTAGAGGGGGCCCAATTTAAAAAAAAAAAAAAAAAAACATGATTTGAATTTTCATAAAATTAGTTGGGGGTGTGGGGGTGTTGCAAAAAGAGTATTTCTGCTATGACTTTAATAAAAAAAGACATTGATAATAATTTCCATCATCTGTGAATAGTTTCTGAAAGTTTCATTAACATCCGACAATTATTTTTATTTTTGCAAGATTTTCCAAATTAATGTCTCATACAAAAAAAAATGTGCTAAAAATTGTATGTTATTTTACTGGTTCCTGTGATACAAAGAGAAACAAGGTTTTGTTTTTTTAATCAAAATTTAGAATGTTCTAAAAAGGAAAAATTTTAAAAAATAATTAAAATAAACTTTGATCTTTCCTCTTAATAATATAAACAATTAGATGATAAAATTTTGTTTTCGTCAAATTTGGCATCTTTTTCATCATGCTGTGCTCTTTTTTTAGTGATCTCATGGAGGTACCTAGGCTAAACTGATATCATTTGAAAGAGAAATCAGTTTACTTTCATATAAAATAAACTTGTAATCCTTGATTTTTCAATGTGTTTTTAGATATATCAATTTAATTGCATTAACATCGCATATTTGGATTTTTTAACAATTCGGTCAAGGACTTCAGGCATTTAACAATTGAAATTTCTTAAGGTTTGATAGTGTCAAAAATAAATGGATGATATCTTGTGCACAAAATGATGTTTGGCTGTTGGTTTTATTCACTTGTGTACACTTTTGTTTTCAGATTAAAAAAAAGAGCAATCCCCCACTTTCCTTACATGGACAATTGCTTTGGAGAGAATTCTTCTACACTGCTGCATCCAACAATCCTAGATTTGACCAAATGGTTGGAAACCCTGTTTGTGTTCAAATTCCATGGGACATAAACCAAGAAGCATTGGCCAAGTGGGCTGAGGTAATTTTTGTAACTATTAATTTGAAATATCAAAAATCATATTTAGCTTTTGAGGCAGTAGAAACTTTATTGTTTAGAATAAAAACGATTAGGTTTCATGTTGAAATTTTTAGACATTTTTAAAAAAGCAAACTTTTAAGAGACTGAATGTATGGTGGAAACTGGGTGCGTGGGTGATCAGGATGATAAGAAACCAGAGACTTACCAGTCAACTTCGAAAGAGACACTTTGTAGATTGTGCATGGTTTGACAAACTCTATTATAAAATCTTTCCTGAGAAGGAAGTCCTACTTTTATGTAAAGCATACATTGGATAATTACAGCATCCTTCAGTATAGAAGGAGAATGCTGAACTGGGAAAGACAGAAGCTGTCTGACAGCAATGAAAGAAAAACGGCTTACAACTGGGAGAATGACTGTCAGTGCTTTTTATTTATTTTTTCAACAAAAAGCTATAAATTAATTGATGTGTTTAACAGCAATAAGTGATAGTGAGAGCCTACATCAAAATTGTTAGTGCTGTGAGAGTAGCTTACAGATCATTGTTTACTAAATGCTAAAATAAATTTAGTATGTTAAACTTTATTTTAAATGAATATTTAGAAATATTTGAATGATCTGCTGAATATTGTTTAATTATTTTAAGGAAAGGATATTTGGCAAACATGGACAAAACGTGCCCACAATAAGATGTAGTATCAAAAGAAAGTTTTTTTTTTTTTCCCATGACTCTGCTTTTTTAACTACCTTCACTCTTCAGTAGCATGATTAACATGATTAGAACTGGAATAAAACTTAAACATATGATGAAAGTGAATTTATACATTTTTTTTTTATTTTTGAGAATTTACAACAAAAATATTAAATACTATTTATTTCTTAGATTGCTTATTTACAAGAATGATTTTATATTTATAACATTTTAAGAACTAATACAATGAAATATTTATCATTTACCAATTTATAAAGAAAAAATGAAAACATTTTCATAAATTTCTAAAACATTTAATAAATTATTAAAATATGTGAACCAACTATAAACGAATCCTTATTTTAGAAAATTTGAATCAATAAGCCAATGTCTTGCCCACCATTCCAATAAAAAAATTGTGTATTTTTTAAAAAAAAAAAGAAAAAATATTTATTATTTTTGTTGTCAGTTCTCAAAAACAAAGAAATTGTATAAAGTCATTTTCATATGTTTAGGTTTTATTAGAATTCTAATCACTTTTTAAAATGATAAACATTATGAAGTGTGAAGGTAGTTTAAAAAAAAAAAAAAGCAGTGTCAATGGAAAAAAACATCTTTTTAACACTACATCTTATCAATGACTGGCTTCCCCTGGATATTTCTTGCCAGATTTTTTTTTTTGTTTTGTTTTCATAAAATTAAGATGAAAAAATACTAGTTAAAATTAATCACTGCTATGATGTTTTCAGCAGAGGGAGTGTATTCAATATTTGATCATTTTGTGTCAATATGCACTTAAAGATTTTAGGCAGTTTGATCCACATTTCTTTTCATGGTTAGCAGTAAGGAATTGTAAATATAAGGACTACAAGAAATAGCAAGTTTTAAAATAATATTTATTACATAAATAAAATATAAAGTTTTATAGGAACATTTTTTCTCCTTTGACAATTATGTATTTAGTTACATAAATAAAAATATAAATTTTGATTCTATATTCGATTTGTTAGATATTTTTCATTTTTTCTCCTTTGTTATTGTAACAATAATGCTGCATTTTCCAAAAAACTGAAATTTAGAAATGCTAAAAAGGAAATTTTTTTTAAATGCTTTTGACAAAAAAACTTAAATACTTTGGTTTAGGTTACCTCATCTCCTTGCATGGTTATGAACTATAAACCTAAATTGAGCTTGAAATATTGTGTAATCGGCTCTAATTTTTTCTAAAATACTTGGATATGATACAGTGAATAATTCTTTTTTTTTTGAGTTGGTTTCTTTTCCAATTATAACTGTTGAAACCAAAAGATTTTAGTCTACAAACTGAATACCAGTTATTGCTGTATTTAAGATATTAAAGATAATTTGTTTTTTCATGTATAGTTCTTTTGTGAAAAGTTACATTTTCTGATGAATTTGTTATTGTAGGGTATGACTGGTTTCCCCTGGATAGATGCTATCATGAAACAGTTACGGAAAGAAGGCTGGATCCATCACCTTGCTCGGCATTCAGTTGCTTGTTTCTTAACCAGAGGTGATCTTTGGATATCTTGGGAGGATGGAATGAAGGTATATATATATATATATATATATCTTTGTTTATAAAAATGTCATATTTCTGATTTTCTTGTTTTTTAAATAAACTATGAGACTTGAGGTTATTGACTGTCCATTTGTGCCATCTATATTTCAGGTGTTTGAAGAGTTGCTGTTAGATGCTGACTGGAGTGTGAATGCAGGCATGTGGATGTGGCTCTCTTGCAGTTCATTCTTCCAGCAGTTCTTCCATTGCTACTGTCCTGTTGGCTTTGGCAAAAGAATTGATCCTAATGGCGACTTCATCAGGTAGGCTGTTCTTTCTTAATTGCTAACATGAAACTTGATTCCAGGCACATTTTTTTAAAATCAGTTTCTTGCCTAAAATCAAAACAGATGAATCTGTTACATGTGAACATATGCTTGTATATGAAAGAAATCATATTTGCGGTGTTTTGAATATTCATTTTTTTCAAACTTTTTCATTTTTTTGCAAGTCTAGATGGCTATTTGCTAATAAAAATAAGTAGGATTAGGGTTGTTTTCTCTTAACCTCATAATTGAAAACTCATCATTCTTAACATGTTAGTTTTGAATTTTTGCAATGCTATTTATAAAAATGTTTTATTGCTGAAGCATTCCCAAACCTCTAATTTTGTCTGATAATAATGCAACTAGTGTTAAGCACATTTTAAAAAATATATATATATATATATATATATATATATATAAAATCCCATAGGTAATAATTTATTTCACGAGAGCTCTAAAAAAAAAAAGAAGTAACTCTCAATCTTCAAGAACTACAAACAAATCATAAATGAAATGGAAAAAATATTCTGGGTTAGAATAAAGAGATATTGCTATTTTATTTAGAGAGTGTGTTGACCTATTTGACATGCTGACTTCAGTATGTTATTTGAGGGTGGTAGAAGGGTTTAAAATGTAGTTCAGTGTGAATCTGAAACAATCCTGTCTGTTTCTGTCAACAGCCAAATTTCGATGCTGATATATTTCATTCAACAAATTATTTGTAAATAATATTAAGAGAACATTTTTAAAGATTTCAAAATTAGCAAAAAAATTTTCATAAGCTTTTTATATAATTAACCAAGAAATTTAAATTAAAATACCTAAAAAAATTTTAATTAAATAATTATTAATTATATTCAGAGAAACATTTATAAAGTTTATATACCTAGAGTCTTGAACATTTATATTTTAGAAGTATTTATTAATATTTAGCAAGATATGGATGTACTTAAACTAAGGAAAACTTAGATCAGGGTTAATTGAGTGTGCATAAGGAATAGATTTTTCATTTATATATCTGACATATTTTTTGATTTATTGTTTGAATGCTATTTTTAATGGATATCCATATTTGAGTATATGCTCTGTTTTTATTTGTTTATTAAACAGTATTATTATTTTCATCTACCAGACTGAATATTCTAGAAATCCTATAAAAATATACACACACTGACAGGATTTGCACCTGCCTTCCCCAGGGGAAACAATTGTTAGATTTGATGTGCTTTGATCTATCGGCTATGAAGAACTTCCTGGTCAAGCAAAGCCTGAATACTGCTTTTGAAATAAATAAATAAATATAGTGTTTAGTAAATAAATAAAAACTGAGCATCTATTCAAATATTGGTATCCAATAAAAATAACATTTTAGCAATAAATTAAAATTGTGTGTATGCATATATATATATATATATATATATATATATATAATTTTAAAGCTTCAGTAATAATTTTACTGTTGAAATATTTGTTTCTTTTTATATTTTAAAAAAACATTTTTTTTTTCCTTTTTAATAAATTCTGTTATATTATTAGCAATTACTCAATTTGCACCCCTGCTTTATTTAAGCATGCACATATCCATTTATTTATCAATTTTTTTTTTTTTTTTTTAGACATTATCTTCCAATTCTGAAGCGCTTTCCAGCCAAATACATCTATGAACCCTGGAATGCCCCTGAAAATGTGCAGAAGACTGCCAAGTGTATTATTGGTAAAGATTATCCTGTACCCATGGTCAATCATTCAGAAGTCAGTCGGATCAACATGGAACGAATGCGTCAAGTCTATCACCGTTTAACCATGAGAAGTTCAGGTGATTATTTTTTGTTTTAAATTTAATTTCTTAAATAAGAGAATATTTCTTCATATTTTTATGTTTATATCAAGAAAGGTTAAATAAAGTATTCCTTGGTTATTAAATTTTCTTTCCTTATAGTTGAATTTTGATTGATGTTCAATCTTGCAATTAGGGTAATCTGGTAGAAAATATTAAGAACATGAATATTTGAAATTGTATTACTCATAAATATATTTCGAAATAGTGTTTTTCAGAGAGTTTGTATTAATGTCAAATAAACACTTTTAATATAAGAATGAAACTTTATAAAATATTGTATATCTTTAATTAATGACTTGATACACTAACAAATAAGGAATAGAAAGAAAGCTTTGCTTTTTTTTGTTTTCTTTTTTTAAATTAATCTCTACAATCAAATTAATCATGTTTTTGTTTAAGTTAAAGAAGCTTTGCTTATTTTACAAGTTTTGTCTGAAATTGATTAACTATTGTTATTTACTTGAGCAAATCCAGGATTAATAAATAATGATCAACTGGAATCAACTCCTTTTTTTCTTGTTACAGCTACAATACCAAAACAGATTCATTCTCGAGAAGGGCTGCAGTACTCAAAGCACTCTAAACGTGAGTAATGTTTCCATGGTAGATTCCCTGTTCTGAATTAACATTGACACTCTCTGGTCTTTTTTTTTTTTTTTTTTTTTAAAGACTCACAATACAGTGACAAAGTTTCAGAACTAGCTATTTGTAGTTATTTGTACTCCCCCACTCCCCATTGATAGTATAAGTCCTTGTCAGTGCTCAAATTTCTAATCAGTTTTAATTGTTCTTGCTGCAATTCCTTTGTCTTGCCAGAAATAAATCATCGTTGCCACAAAGTGAACAACACATTCTTCAGTGCAACAGCACTAGATTTTTATTTCTTTATGATGTCAAACATTGGTATGTTTGGAGAATATGCATATGTTGTGACATATGTCTAAGTAAAAAAAAGAAAAAAAAAGTGCTTCGCTTGCAATCAATGCATATGCTACATGTGGCCTCTTTTCCCAGTTGAGTTCACATATTTCCTCCTATAATATTCCTCTAATGAAATCTAGTTTTTCAATAGTTATCAATATTAAATTTCAACTATTTTCAGATTTTGAGTATACTTTTCTAAAATTAATACAAACTGAAAACTTGGACTGTTGTAGAGATTAGATTTGGATAGGCAGGGAATACACTATGCATATAACTGGTATAATTATTCATAAAAACATTTGAAGTGATCAAATTTTGAAAGTTGGAAATTTTCAGATATGTCAAATTGTTTCACTTATTTTCACCAGCTTCTGCAAGCAAATTTGATTTGTTTGTCTATTTTGTTTTTAATTTTCTACTTATAAAGGTAGTTGCTGATTTATGGTAAACTTCTTAATGATCAAGAATAAATAATTTTGTAGGTTCAATTTTGTGCTTTTTACTCTAGCACACATATGTTTTCATTTATTAATAGTTGGGAACTCAACATAAAACAGATGTAAGCATCATTTTAAATGTTTAATAATTTTACTAAGATGTCATCTGATTGTAATTAAGATTTTTGTATAAACATGTAAATTTTCCCATGTATTTAACAAAATATTTGTCTTTTAATGAAGTTCAAATATAGCATTTTAGAATTATCATGCACAATGCATTGTTGTTAGTTACTGGAACAAATTTCACTTAAGATTGATTGGTGCAAAAGGAGTGTCACAATGTATTTTTTTTTTTTAAATGTAATCTTTGATAAATTACGTTCATTTTTCATGCTTGAATTTTCTGTTCTGGTCAAAGCTTCTTTATTGCAGGATACCTTTTATTTACATATATTTAAAAATATAACTGAAAATTTTAATTACTCTTTTTATAACTGAGTGAATACTGTGTAAATAACATTGCCCCACAATACTACATTACCAGTTGAAATCTCACTGTTCATTTGGTCATTTGCTTAAAGCTTAGTAGATGGTTATGATTCAAAAATTGATCTAATGCTCATAACTAAAGGTTTTCTCTATTTGCTGCTGCTTCTCAACAAATGCTACCATTGATTATCTCTTTTACTACTACTAAGCTGAAACCTCTTTATGCTTATTGTTAGAGGCAACTGTCACATACTGAATGAACTATTTCTATCTGTTTAATAGCCATAAGATGTTTATATTTTGTAGCAATGGACATATGCTTTCATGGGACTTCTAAGCATGATAAACGTTATGACCAACACTTTATGTTGAAGAGCTACTAGTTGTTTCTACCTCTTCCTTATCACAGGATGGTAGTTAACCCCAACACAGAAAAGAAACTATGAACAAAAAAAGCATTTATTTGAGGAAAAAATAAAAAAATCAATTTCCAATTTGGGTATCAAGATATTTTTGACATTGATGGATGCTAACCTTACAAAGAAGCACAACACAAGGATATATATATTGTAGCAGAATGCTATTAGTTTGAAGCTAATAACATCTCTCTATGTGATTCAACATATGAAAGGTATATATTCCATCATTTTTGGTTGTAATGTTTTATTTTTATTTTTTATACAATTAAAAAAATGCATGAGCTAAATCATCCAGCAAGAATAATCTCACTTTTTTTGTTTGCACATTTTATTAAATACCTCCTCCTAATTCAGCAATGTCTTCTATTAATATTTACCAATTCATTTCTTTTGTTCTTTTCTACATACCTGGATCACTGCAAATATAACTGGATGGTTGCTACAATCATTTTACCTAACTTTAAATTCATGTTAATGAAACTGGATATGCAAATGTGCTTTTAAAAAGTATTACGGAACTATGGTCAGCACACTTAATTTGACTCCACAGACCATGTATTTCCAAGTTTGCATTCCAAAACAAAAGTAATAGACAACCTGATGGGAATGTGCACGAAATTAGAAAATAGCACAAAGAACATTGCCAGAAATAATTATTCAATAATTATGTTCATTGTCAATAAGAGATGGTGTAAGTTGATGAATTTACAGCTTCAAAAAATTTATCATTGAAATGTATAATATCTATATATAGAATATAATCTATATATTTAATGAAGAAAAATAAAATTGTTGTTGATGATATAATCATCAGTGTTGGTTTCTGCAGAGTTGAGAATAAAGACTTGAATATATTATTTCATGCAAGACACTATCTTGAAAAATATTTAATGAAGAGGTAAAATTATCCCCTTTTTACTGTGATTTGTAATTTTTGTTATGGTTTTTACTAAAAGTAAATTGATTTAAGATTCAGGACCAACAAGGAGTGAATATGTGAAATTCAACAAGTGAACTTTTAATTGATTAATTTGAAGAAAAAGGAATGAAATACACAAAACATTTGTATGCAAAATCTAAATGTCTGCACCTATTACTGTCAGAAAGTTTGTATGAATTATTTTATGTTCAAAGAACTAATTTGAGTGAGAATTATTTGAGATGAATGGAATCATGCAAAAATACAGAGGAATATACATTAAGTGATTACCGCTAAGAATAGTTGGTAATGAACTAACCATTTTCACTGTAAAATAATGATGCCTTGTCACCAATCTAGAACTGCAATCATTTTTCTCTTTAATATAGAACATGCAGACTTAAGTGAAATAACAGGCCTAAAATCTTCAGTTTCACAGTAAAATTTGTTTTAAAATTGCTTTTCACTTAGCAAATTGCTGGAAAACTATTTCTGCATGTAAAACTGTAAAAGTTTTATACAAAATGCAGTATTTTTGTTAGATATAGACAGAAATTGCTAAAATGTAGTAAAGAGAAAATATTTGCACATAAAAACATTGATACTTCGCCTCCCCCATTTGTTGACATCTAAGCTAGAAAATAAATGTCCCATCTTATCTGTTGTCTATGACACAGAGAATAGAAAATCCTTGGAAAGAAAACCTGGTAGCTCGGAAAGATTTTCATGTTTATTGAGAAGTATAACAAAGTTCAATATCACTTAAATCAAAAGTGACAAAAATGAACCAAATGAATTAGAAAACAAAACTCCTGTAAAGCAAGATTTTCAAATTTGTGGAAATTACAGAATAATGATTTGTATCTGATGATGATTAAAGTAAATTGTTTAAAAAAAACAATAAAAACAAATATGGAGGAATGCTAATTTATAATAAAAAGTTTGTTTTATGTAACATTGTCAATCATGATCATCTGTGATTATAATAATAAATGATTTCTGTAACCTTATAACTTTTTTTTTTTGAAATGATAGATGGAATTATTATTGGCTTTTATTAGATGGACTAAAACTTCATCTTTGTTAGTCTTCCTACAAATTCATATCATTCAAAATACTGTATATTGTACACTGTCAGATTTTATTATGCATACCACTGTTTTCACAGTATAATTAATATGAACTGAAGTTGGTAAAATTTTCAGGTTCTACTTATATTTAGAGGTACAATATATTTAAGTTTCAGCTTATTTTTCTTTTTAACTTGTTTTGGAACAGTCAGGTTTTATTATGGCTCAAATTTTAATTTATAAATAAATCCAAATAGTATCGATGATGAAAGAAAAATCTTTTTGATTAACACAATATTCCATATACTTGAATAAATTATTATTCTATCATTTTACATGCTACTATGAGCAATTTGATATTCTATAACCTTTATCAGTCATCCATTGATTTTAACTTCTGTTATGCACTTGTTTTTATTGCTTTCCAGATATCTTTGCTTGAATTTTTTCCTTCTTCATATACATCTCTTAATGGATCACAAGTATTCTAGTGAATTAATAGTTGGAGAGGCTGGGAATTACATTCCATTAATCTGGTGGGCAATGGTCAGTTTTACACAATGTAAAAGAATATTATTTTGCATGAATATACTTTTTAATTTGAACTGTCTTGATTGTGCTTTGCTATTCAAGTTTTGTTAAAGAACTTAAAATAATTCTCTGCATATATCATGACACCAAAATTAACTTCAATGGGACCTAATATTGCCTACAATACTAGCTCAGAACATTGTGTTGCATGACTGTTTCTATGAAGAATCCAATCTCTTTCCCAGCAATCAGGTCCATCTAGTGTAGTTATACATTTATCACTAAATGTTTTTTGAAAAGTAAGTTTTCATGTATTTCTTCATCTAATTTACACATTTCTTTTTGATGTTTACTCAAAGGTGATAGTTTGGTTGTTTTCATGCCTTTAACCAATGTTCTTGATATTCTGCATCTTTTATCTTTTTATGTTCATAACACTGGCTTCCTTAAATAATTTATTGTTGGCCAATCCACTTTCTCTTATTACCCTTTTAATTTTTCTTAAATCTCTTTGTGACATTCTTAAAACCATTTTATTTGTTCTTTCCAATATTTTCTGCTTCTTTGATCTCTGTACAACCGTTCCACAATTTTCATTATTGTGTTTCCATCACTCAATGACTACAATATTTTTCTTCTCTTTTGAGGCTACATCTTTTTTACAACCCATGGCAATTTTTATAGGTCCAAAATGAAAAAATAAATAGCAATAACTATTATATTTATTAACTCTTTGAGATGCATTGCTAAATAAATTATTGAAAATATTTCTAATAAAAACAAATTTTTTTTTTTTCTACATGTGTGATACCCTGCCCTCCTCAGCCAACAACCAGGGGAGGTAACAAAGTTTTGTTGGCTAAGGTGGTACTACCATTCCTGGCACCACCAGCAGCTTTTGTCACTAGACAGGTTATTTTTTGTAGATGTGTCAATCTCTTGCGAATATTTTTTTTCTTTTTTCAATGTTGTGTTAAAAGCATTTGCTTTTTGATGTAGAATGGAAGGTAAACAGAAGTGTTTATGTTGGAAGTAGCATTGTGTTGTGAGCATAGTTTTAATTAACTTTGTTTATCTTGGATCTTGACCAGATCCAACTTGATGCCTGTCGAGCTGTGCCTTGATCACTTTGACATAATGCTCATACATCGGTGTCAGTGTACCACTACAACTTGAGGTTAGTGATATTTGGTAGGAGATCATAGGTAGGTCACAGGAGGGATGATATTGCTAATGGTTCCATTGCAATCAGGGTATTCCATGATAGCTTCATTGAATCAATATCACTCCATGTAGTCCAAGCACATTGTTTGGACTGAGAAACAGCATAGCATTCACTGTTCCTCTTCAAAATATCTGATTTCTTCAATCACCATGTCTCAACCTCCATTTCAACCCTGTTTGGAGAAAAACTGGTTGCTTGTGCTACCCAGTCCATGTCAATATGTTTGGGTCTCCCCCATAATCTCTTTGATTTCCAGGTTGGATTTTGCTTCGTGAGTGACTTCTACGGCCAATGATTTGGCGCCACTTTTGATATGTGGATGAACTTGTCGACCAAGTCTCTCATCATCATCATGTGAAGCATACCTTCCTGACCTTGAATTCCTCCACCAGTGAGGAGATGGCAAGTTGCAGATTTCCAGCATTGGTATAGTCCCACTGGAGAAGCAGAAGGGAACTCCAAGCCATTTGCACAGGTATTTGTAGATACACTGTTGCATCTGATGAATGTGAGACAAGGTTCCAAGAAAACCTTATAGTGGTTGCATAAAAATAACCTAGTTCAAGCTGTTTGCTTTTCAAATAAGATTTTCTTTAGAAACTTCAATTTTTATCTGAAAACAGATCAGGTTGAAAAGAATAAATTTTAAATTTATAGTAAGATTATTGTGTTTTGTATCATTTGGACTAATTTCTTTGTACTATTTTTTTTTTTTTTTTTTTTTTTTTTTGAAAAAAAAAAAAATGATCACATATTGTTTACTAAACCTCCTGGCCTTCTTTGGGTGTTTGTTGTATTTTGAAATCTCAAACCTTGTTCTGAAGTGGGCATGTGCTTTTCTTCTCATGCATATCACATATGATGCCTATACCTGTAACCTGTCCTCTAACTCACATATTGAACCCCAAACTTGCCACTGATCTAAATTAATTTTTCTAGCAATTTTTTTTTCTTTCTCCTCATGTCTGCAAATTTGTTTGTTTTGTTCTGATGCTTGTGGTATCTTAGTTTGCTGACTGAATAATTTTGAGCACAGTACCTATGTACGGCTTCTTGTTTCTGTCTATTTTCTCCATAGCTTGAAGTGGTTTCTTCTGCCTCAACACATGATCAACTATACTGGATTTTAAAGTTTCTTTGTTCATAAATTAGAACTATTTTTAAGAGCTGGCTGGTCCAGCTTTTGTAAACTGCATGGAATGTTGCTTAGATTTTCTTCCAGGAGAGGTTTTATTTTAATGAGGTATCTGTACAGTGTCTTGATGTCCAACATTCTTCATCTCCTTCATTTTTTTCCAGCAAACCTAGAATGACTGTAGTCCTTTCCTTTCTATGCCTGTGCAAATATTTTATTTTGAGGGTAACATTGTTTATATCACTAACTACTAACTTTTACTGTCTAACAGTTTTTAGACAGTAAAAGTTAGTAGTTAGTGATATATTTTTAGTGGTATATTTAATAGATTAGTCAAATATCTGTCTTACAAATAGAGAAAAGTTGTAATAGAAGTTCCCTTTTAACTCTAAAATTGCTGTAGAAAAACATTTTCAGCAAAACCTGTTTTCTAAAGTTCTTTTTCTTATATTATGTCCATTTGAATTTCCTACTTTGGACATAGCTGCATAGACCTGATCATGAAAAACAACTGAATAATTTTCTGTTTTATTTTTATTATTACCATATATACTTTAGTATAGTGTGAGATTTCAGTTCTTTATGCAAAATATAGGGGGGGTTGCAGGTAATTATTTTATTTTTTTTGAGAAGTTAAAAACCTACATTTTTGGGGACCAGTTGCACTATACAGAGTATATTTTCTGGAGGGGTTAGAATTCATGCAAAAAAATTCTCGGGTTGCACTATACATGAAGTTGGCTTATACATGAGTATATACAGTAATTAATTCAGCAAACTTACTATCTTTTCATTTGTTTAAATAATTCAGTAGTTTTAAGAAAATCTAAACAGATTACATTGACTTTAGTTTATTCAATAAATTTTTTTCAGCTCCGTTTTTGTAACTAATTTGTTTACTTTATTGTATTAGTAACATTTTTAATATTTTTTTCTTTTATTTTCAGTCTACTCCAGAACTGAAATCAAAGAATACTCTTCACCTGGATAAACTTTTATGTGTGGATAGTAAAAGTGTCAAATTCGGACTTTGTGTCTTGCCTTTCAACAGATCAGCACATTTCACTTCAATACTTTATTCTCTGAATCACTACATATATGCTGAAAATAACATTAGATTTGTAAATACAACCATTTCATGAAGAAACTTCATTTCTCACATAAGGCTGGCACTCTTGTGTGATGCTACTGAGGAAATTCAGTTTGTAAATTTGGCAGTGAAAACTCAGGCTCAACAGTTGATGTTCAGTAGAAATCTTAATGACATCCTTTTATCCTTTCCGATCCTTCTCTTTTTACTCTGGTGATACAGTGCCTTTCATGTAAAACTATCAGCCTCTATCACTCATGTTGCTATTTTGAATCCTCAACCCTGTCATTTATTTGTACAGATTTTTATGGTCACTCTCACTTTGTAAAAGTTCATATATATAAAAGAAATATCTTCAGGATTTGTATATTATTTACTTGTTAGTAGATTTTTGGCTGTTATATTCCGTTTTTAAATTATTTCTGTTATTACGGCTGTGACATTCAATGAATAAATGTAGCCTACAAATCCTTGAGATGTTAATGTAGTTCAGACAGATTTATTTCAAATGGTTGAACTCTACTGAACAAACTCTCATGAACTAAATGGTGGATTTATTTATATATTAAAAGAATTCTCTAAAAATAAAAACAACTTACTATCATTAGCAGTAAATAATTTTAAGTTGCTATAAATGTGAATTCTGTTGTCAAACTTGAAACAACTTTGGAGGTGAAAATGACTTTTGTAGAGTTTATAGTGTAGCAATAGGTAACAAGAACATGGCCTATAAATTGTAATATTTCTTCTTGATTTGGGATGTGTACTTAATTTCTGTATATTAGAGTGTGCAGCAGAAATACCTCCCACATTTTAAAGGTTGACAAAACAATCAAGATAACTTCTATTAAAAAAAAAAAAAAAATCACTGTTGTTTAAACAAAGGGCTATGGTTTTTATTTATTTGGTTTTAAAATTGACATCATCTAAATGGTGGCCTCTATTTGCCATACACTTGTAGATGATTTGTAAAGTTTCCATCACCCAAAGTGTTTCTGGAGTGCTTTGAGGATTTTGATGGCTTCCTTCATAAGCATTATTGATTTTTTTTTTAACATAAAATGAACACAAAGTTCTGTGTGTTGCAATTACAGATTCACCAGGCTTAAAAAAAAAAAAAAAACGTTTCAACAACAAATGCACAGTTGGAACCAGTCCAAGCAATGATATCTGGAAAAAAAAAAAAAAAATGAAATGATGAAGGCATTATTGCCACTTGCCAAAATTCACTCACTCCATACAAGAGAAAGTTTAAAATGTGGGAGGTATTGCTGCTGCACCCTGTATTTTCTAAGCTGGCAAATACACTTGATTAGTTGGAAAATATAAAAAATTACTAGTTTTTATTTTGAGAATATCATTGACGTTTATTATTATAAAAACTAGTTTATTAAGTTTCTGATATTTTATAAGTACAATGCAATTACAAAATTACTATCCATTTACCTGGATGCTATAAATAATGTAAGGCATTTTATTTATTTTTACACTTCATCATCACTACATAATCAATTAATCCATCTCGGTCTAGTGGACTCTTCTGGTGAAGCAGAAAATTGTTGCATGCAAATATATATTATATGCACAATGCAATTTATATGTGTGGGTTATATATTTTTATCAAATTTATTTAGGTTTTCTTCACCTCAGCATTATTCTGGGTTTTGAAAGTTTTATGCCTTAGTTTGTGTTTTTACTCATTTTGTTCACTGTTATGGCTTGCAACCATATCATGTTGAAACACCAGTTCTAGTAAGATCATCGAAGTTAAGCAGCATCAAGCCTGGTCAGTATATAGATTGGTGACTGCTTGGGAATACCAGGTGCTGTAAGCTTGGATGTGCAGGTAGTGTAATGGATAACAGCTTGGAATTGGAAATTTAAGAAATGAATTTTAATTCCAATTGGGTTTGTTATAATCACTTGTACACAATTTCTAATAGAAAAGGTATGAATCCACCTCTTTGCCTGCAACTATGGGTTAATTAGTAGGACTTGTATCAGTAAAACATTATTATCTCCAAAAAGTACTCTAACAATATTTCTGGCTTTAAATAAGCCGAAAAAGGTTGCTAAGCTGTAAAAGAACAAATAAATAAATCATACTATTATGATAAATTAACTCAATTTGTATTCCATTTGAGTTGATTTTTTTCTATTGCTAAAATAAATCCATTTCTTACTTAAATAATTTGGACTAACAGATTGAAACAGGCTTTTAGTTGATGTTTTAAAACAGTTATTAAATTTTGTGCATTTCTCTAGATTATTTTATTTCAAATATTTATAAGGCATTAAAAAAAGTAGAAAGGTCATGATGCTTTCTAGTAAACATTTGGAAGATAATCTATTGATTTTTTTTTATATCAAAATTAGACCTTAGTGAATGTTTATATTTCTTTATTTTAAGTACTGTACTTTTCAAGTCCTTTTTCATTAGCTCAAGAGCATCCACTGAAACCTTTTGTCATCAGATAATATATATTACATTCTGTTTTCATTAGCATTTTTCAAATTGTACAAATACCTTTTAAACCTAATTGATGTTATACATTTGTTTTATTTTATATATATATATATATATATATATATATATATATATATATATAATTTTTAATGGATTTTTATCCAACATTTTTTTTTATATAATATATATATCCTAAACTACACAATTTAAACATTTTAGGGTATTTAGATTTCATTAAAATTGGGCAAAACCGGTAAATCTACTTGTTGAAGGAATTTGATTTGTTCAGTATTTTTTCCAAACCATTGCATTGTATTTTAACATTTAATAGAATCTTCCAGTTTTAACTCTTCAGATGAAACAGCTTGATTGTTTTGTCTTCTCTTGTAAAATATTTAAATGCTGCAGTTGTATTGCAGAAAATTATTTATCATATCTCTATCATTTGACAGTAAAAAAAAAAAAATCAAAAAAAAAAAAAATCCACAAAATGTTCTGCTTTTGTTTTAAATTCTTTTTTCTTGCCTTTTTTTTTTTTTTTTTTTTTTTTTTTTACAATTTATCCTCATTCTCATTTTTAAATAAGTTTCTGTAAATATGCTGTATTTTTTATAGCCACATTTTTTTGTCATTTTGGGATTTACATTTAAATTTTTTCTTTTTATGGTTTGTTATTATAATCATTATTTTTCTAATGCAAATGTTATCATTAATCCATCCATTTATTTATTTTTCTGATATAATTTATCTTAAGAATAGGTATTTTTAAATAAAATCTGTTTTTAGCATGTTCAATCAGAACAGTCTTAGTAGAATACATTCTTTTTTTGCCAATGACAATCTTTTTGGCTAATCTTTAATTTTAAAATTTTACTTTTTAAAATTCTAATATTTTCAGTTGAAATATTTTTATCTGAAGAACTACATTCGAGATTGGCTTTTTAAGTACTGGTGCAACTTCAGGTTATGTATCCTAGTTTAGAATTATATTGTTGGCCTTTAGCTGATTATAATTTTAAATATTTACATTCTTTAAGCAGAAAAATACATTAGTTTACATGTTTCTGTATGTAAAATGTACTTATGTAGCTCAGCCTCTTGTATTTTTATTGTAATTTAAGAACCATTTTGAAAGTGACCAAATATACTTTTTATTTATAAGTAATTTTCAATATCTTCATTTGTTTATTTTTAATATTAGCAAATTTTATAAAAATTTGAATGAAACTGATTAATTTAAGTTTTCAAAACACCATTAACAACCAATATGTCAGTAAAATGTTTAACATAATGGCAAACTAAACATCTTTGTTGAAACTAGTTTAAATATATTAGATGATTTTGTAACTAGCTTTTAATTTTATAATCTGATTTATCGTGTCTAAGAAGAGGAATAAATATCTGGATTGTAACAAATTAAATATTTTTAATTAGGTTTATTTAATTAGTTTTATTATTCCAATGAAAATGTTTTGATTGTTCATCTCTTTTAAGAGATTATAGACAATTTTTTTCTCTCTCATTTAATTTTTTTTTTCTATACAAATGACAGTGCATTGATCTGATTTATCATGGCAAGGATTTGTTTTATTTTTCTCATCCTATTTTTTTTTTTTTTTTTTTTTTTTTTTGCATGCCTGAATAAAAGTTCAGTGTGGTGTGTTATTATAGATATTAATGTTTAATCTGTTTTGACATTGAAATACTTCTATAATAGCATTAATACACACATTTTTTTCTTTTCTGTCCTAACTTATCTTTGGTTTACTAGATCATCTGTTACAATCAAACCATTGAATTATTTAATTTTCAAAACTTTCACATTATTTATCTCTCTCAACATTATTACAATAAGCAGAGGAGGAAAAGCATTTTTCTTTTTGTGTATTTACATTTTTTAAATTTTTTTTTTTTTTTTTTATTATTATTAAATCAAAGAATCATTACCTGAGTGGGTGAGAGAATGATCTGAAGTGGGGGTGGTAAAAGTGTAAGTTGAAAGGTATATTTTTTAAATTTAACAAATAAGTGCAAAAAAACATGATTTATATAAATAAAATACAAACAAAAGTACTTGCATTACATATATATTTTTCTTTTTGTAAATTTGTATTTTATTTTTAAGTCTAGGAAATATCTGGGGAAGGTTATACTTTTCAGCATACAGCAAGAATAAGATTAAATTTTTGACCTGTCTTTTCCTTATCGTATTACATATTAACATCTTTTGAAATTTGGTTTCCTTATTGTTTCACTGTTCCATAAAAATAAAGAATAATAACTATCATGAAAAACAAAGGAAAAATCATTTTGATATACCCAACAGGCAATATTAATAAAATGCTATTAAACTTCAGATATTTGTAGAAATGTATTTCTTGTTCTGAATAAACATATGGAAGCATTCCAAGTTTGTGTTTTTGATTGATTTAAGTTTTGTCTGTGCTGGGGTGAATAAGTTTTAAAATTTTTTTTTTTAAAAATTACATTCATTGTATCTAAAACTTATACAAAAAGTGGATTAAATAATTATTTTTTTTATTATGTATGTCTCTCACCTAATGATAATTTTCTTTGTTTGTATTTTATCAACATAATCTCATTCTTTGTCAATGCACTTAACCCAGTGCTTCTCTATTGCTCATAGAAATTGAATTCTATACTGTGAAAATTTCGGTTCATAATTCAATTAAAGATTACACAAGACTGCTCAGAGTTAAAATTCTGTATGGAGTAACTCTACAGTAATAATTACATTTTAATGAGAATGAGCATCATAGATAAGGCAGTTATGCATAAAAGAATGACATACAACAAAAGATGTATTCATTGACTGGATGCATAAAATCAAGAGGAAATGCTGATGAATGAAAAAGTACTTCAAAGATGGAATGAATTTATTGGAGAGCTCTTCCACAGTGAAAAATTGTAACATGCACTAAATAAAAATATGGAAAGATTTGAAATGTTAGTTTGAAGTGGGATTGGAACTGGCCAACAGGAACAAAGCAGCAGGACCAGATGTGGTTGTAATAGAGATGCTAGCAGCCTTAGACAAAATTTGGTGATTACAGAAAAAAAATAAATGAAATATACAACAGTGGTAACATACTGGAAGACCTTGGTAGATCCATTTTCATAATGGTGCTTAAGAAACCAGGGGCAAATGAATGCAAGCTCCATTGGACAATCAGTCTAATGAGCAGCATAAAACTTATCTGAATTATAAGGATTCGCATGTGTAGCAGAAAAAGAACATTGTAATTCCATTAAAGACACTGGAATAAGCAACACAATATTTATGCTCAAAATGATATCAGAAAAAGCAATACATTTATAGAAGGATGTATACCTATGTTTCATAAATTATGGAAACACGTTTGATAAGGTGTGACTCAAAGAACTGTTTGAACTGCAAGGTAAGCTTGATTTATTTGGAAAATATATAAAATAATCCAGAACTTATACTGTGATCAAACTGCTAGCATATGGATAGAAAATTAATTTAGTAAATACACAAGTAGAAATGAATGTATCTTCACATCAGACTTATGCAAACTCTACAATGAGGTAATAATCCTGAGAGAATTACAAGTCCTACCAGGATATTTTTTATTGGTGAACACAATCTTAATGGCATAAAATATACAGATGTTACAATGTTGATAACAGACAAACAAAGGAAATGGCAGGAATTCCCAGAGAAGGTAAAGGAAAGCAAGAAAAGATTAAACATCAATTGTAAGAAAGCAAAATGTATGATTGTCTGCATGAGGAACAGACCAAGATGCGAATTAAGAATTGGAAATGCCAAAATCAATTTTAGCAGAGAGTGGAAAATTTGACAGAATTCTGAAGATGCAATGGAATAGTGAAAGATGTCTTCCAAAAGCTAATCAAAGTATTATGAAATAGGAAAATTTCATTAGAAAGAAAGAAAAGAGTGCTGCAGCCCTCTTCCTGTCTGTTCAATGTGGTTTTTAGAATTGAGTACTTTTTACACCTTTTCATTTCTTTTTGAAAAAGAAAAAGCACGACATAAGGGAAGCATGTCAAAACTTCAGTAGACAACAACTGGTAAGTCACTTGTAACATGTACAGGTAATTTGAAACGATTGATCAATCTAATTTGTCCATTGTGCTAACCAATATTTACTGTGTCTCGCCAGACATTTCACACATCAGTCGATAAATATATTTTACAGTATATTTTAAGTAAAAAAATATTTTTTAAAAATCCAGTTAAGTAATCATTAAAATTAACTAATTTTTTAAAATCATATATTGTCAGTTTCTACAAAGAATAGTGATACCTAATATTTAAAATGTATTTATAATAATCTTTCTTGAATCTTTTACTTTACTT